TATTTGACTAATGATCAAATAAAGGAATGCAGAAAATAAAGACACATTGTTTGAAAGAAACAAAACAACTGTCCAGTCGTACTACTGTAGGTAGCTTAATATCCTCAAGTTTCCCTAAAAAGAAGCTTCCAATATGCTGTGCTCTTTACTGCTGATGAGCCCTATTTCAAATAACTACAAATGCTTTAAAAAGCAGAATACTTTACAATCATCACACATTTAATAAGATTACTGACATCTAATTACAGAAACGTCACTTATAGCACTTACACCCAGAGGTGTTGCGGAGTCTCCTTCTCTGGAGATATTCAAAACCTGCCTGGACATTTTCATGCACAACCCACTCTGGGAATCTGCTTTTGCAAGGACTGGATTAGGTGATCTACAGAGCTCCTTTCCAACCCTTAAAATTATGTGGTTCTGTGATTGGGAATCTACAGTTTACATTTTATGTTCTATCCAAAATACAGCATGTGTGAAAAATCCTTCTCAACGTCATATTGTATTTACCACAGAATGAACTGAGCACTTACAGGTAAGGTTTAAGGCTTAATTTAAAGGGGGTTTGCTCTGAAACGCAAAGCTTCACACAGGTATTTTTTTTGGCCCTGAGTGACCTTAATGAGACAACACAGATTAACCAAACGGCTCATGCTAACTGAAACGTTACAGACAGGTTGTAACAAAGAACTTTTTTTTATCCTCTATAAGCAAAAACACAGCTGCGTGCTACTGCACAATTGTTCTTAAACTGCCATTTGGAAATTCACCTTATTTCTATTGACACTGAAATGCATATTCATGCTGCACCTCCAGTTAAAATATCTACTTGACTGCTACCAAAAGGACTAGATGTTCGTCTTCATGGACTGTCAAAATGGAGTATTACCATATCTAAAATGATGAATTAAAATTTAAGACCCTGTTGTAGGAAATCCAGATAAATAATGTGTGTAAATTTGCATGATAAACTGAAATATCTCAATAAAATGTCTTCATGTAATATCACAAGGCAACATAATAGAGAAGTTCATCAAAACTAGACGGGTCTCTATTACAGCCATTATCCCAGAGGAGTGAAATGCGAGTGGCAGATTGAAAAAGTGAAGCTGTCTTTGAAATTTGGCTACTGACCGGATGCTGACTGGCTTTAAAAGGCAGTCACAACCACATTAGAGTTTGGGTAACAATTCAGTGACAAGTTCAATTAGAGGTTCTAGAATCTTTTCTGGAGTATCTGGCTGCTGCAAACAGTCAAAGAAAATACACTAGAATAGGCTGTAGGTCTAGTCAAGCACAACTCTTACTACCTAGTTACGGAGATCTTGGTTTCAAGCACTCTCTGCATAAAAGTAATAACATCTTGCTTTACAAATTCAACTCTATGACTGCTTTTGAGGAACAGCTCCTCAGTAGTTCCTTACAGGAGACTCATTTTCATAAAGATACACACCACGTGTTCTCAAAATCTGCATCTTCATGTTTAGTCAGTTTTCCCCAACCTTTGGTACCACATTGTAATTCACCCCCTACAAAAGTAAGAAAATCACCCTTTTCACCATTTACGTCCCTTCTCTCAAAGCTCTACTTAAATGATTTACAACATCCTAATTGATCCCAATTCCTGTATTAATATGAGATCTCTTCCTGCTGCTGCATTTTGATTTCTACGAGCCATAAACAAATACAGGATGGCTCAAAAAAATCCTTGATAATAGATCTTAATAAGAAATGAAGAAGCTAAGTTCACCACCCTTGAAATTAATGCAAACTTTACTAACATTCTATTGGATTGCATCTAGTTTTTGGCATGACTCTCCTATCTCACACATTCAATTAATTTGAATCATAATCAGTATTTTTACCATGTGGATACCCAAGAAAAGCCTTAGATACAAGATGACCTACACCTCAGCTTCCAGTTGTCACAAAATACAGTTCTGCCAAAATTTCATATTACATGAGTACTTCCAGAAAGATGGCAATGATTCACTACTACAAGTGCCAACACGTAAGTTTATGACGCTTTAAAAACTCTGCAGCTATTTCACGTGCAATAGTTTCACGAATATTTCATTTATATTCCGTCAAGACATAAGATTACATTAATGATTCAAACATAAATGGCAAAAGTAACTCATTGTAAACATCTCAGTATAAAATGAAACATTCAGCATGCTTCTATAAAGATTTCATTTTATCTTAAAAAGACACCATAGTAATTAGTATTTCAAAAATGTCAAAAACAGAGACAGCTTTCAGGTGCATTACCAATAAAACATACATTACCATACATTACCAATGAAACCAGCTGCTAGAGGATTCAGATCAGTGTTTTTAGTCAAGAAGACCTCCTACAAACTTCACAAAGGCAATTTATTTAAGTAAAGAATGCAGTGTAAGGCCCTTTCATCATTAATGTATGAGTCAGCTTTTATACTACTTATCTAAATGAAGATTTAATAATCAGGAAAGAAAGAAAAAATTGGTTTGGGGTGTTACTCCAAGCAGAATCCATCTATCATGATTGTGCAGATCATAACTAACACGTACTGCCACTAGCTTCCCTCAGTTTTGTGTGCAGCAGGATCACAGAGCCTGGATCCTTAAACTGCAGCCTGTATTACTTATGTAACTTAACATGAAAACAGACAACTGAAAAATCAGAAGTTCTACGCCACAAAAGCTTTGGGAAGGTTAAGCTTGGACGACATGTATGTTTCGCAGTATTCTTAATCTTATACCTATCCATTAAGGTACAAATTACGGCTCAGACTGCGCACCCTGTGGTACTGTATGTGCCTGCATTCAGTCCCACTGCCTTTGGTACACTTGCACAGTACATAATGCAGGACTGGGGCCTGTGAGTTTTTGTCAGTTCACTCAGACATGCTTATACTGTTACTAAACAGCAACACAGCTCATTAAGTAGAGACTGCTGACTAAACCTTGCAGTATTTCCTGAGCTCATAATGAGAGATTATCTGGGGAAGTTTGCTTTTAGGACGCTTTTGTACCTTGAAAAAAGGAAACCAATGCTTTGTATACCATAGAGTGGACTTCTGCAGTACCACGCATTCATAAGCGAGCGCTGCTGCAACCAAAAGCGCTCCCATACAAATATTTACTTTGCTGAAAGCATTTCAACCTGACAGCTACATCTCCAAACTGAATAAAAAAGAGAGGCAAACATTGTCCACTGAAATCTTCTAGAAGTGCTGTATTCCCGGGCACCCACATTTCTAAGCAGATCTGTCAAAACCTAACAAAACTGCCTGCAAGAAATATCAAGCTAAAGGTGGGAAATACAAAGAGAATTAATTGATTTTGTTTATGAAAGATTTATCGTATATTTTGGCAAATATGCCACACATCTATCACATGAAATACAGATCCCTTGGCATTATCAAAGGAAGAATTATGTTCAGTCTTAGCCTTACTCAGAATTCTCAGAATGTCAGACCTAAAGATATATCAACATAACTTGGTTATTTACATCATTTTTCTACTGAAGGGACAAAGTGGAAAATCACTATTCTGAATATCTTGAATGTCATAAACTGTTGTAATACTGGATACATAAGCAAAAGGTGTCAAACTGAGCCCCGGTGTAAACAGGCACAACTGTAATAAATTAGCACTGTTAAACAGCAGATTAATTAATTAATTAATCAGGACGCCCCCATGGTATAGAACCTATTCAAAAGGTCTCTCTGACTGTTCTAAGTGATAGGAGCTCATCTTTCTTCACCTGAACTCTGTATGAGTTTTAACACTCACTGTGTCTGAGAACAGAATAAAATCATCACATCTGCTATTATGAAAGCTGTATATTGCACTGGGACAGATCTACACACTCTCCTACAGTTTTGCCTTACTTGCTTATATTTCATCCTTCTTCCTTAAATACTGGGATGTGCTGAAGTGGGCTATAACCTAAATTTCAACTCAGTTGGTATCTGACTAATGAAAGCATACTTAATAGGTGAAGCTCTTGTAATAACATAAACTGCACTAGCTAAAAATTCTGTTTTTGCAGGTCCTAATGGATACACAAACAGGACTTCTAGTAAAGTCAACACAATTAATGTCAAAGTTAAAGATAAAAGCATAGGACTAGAGGATAAAAATACAATCTCTATTTTTTTTTTTTGTACTTCATTACCAAAGTACTACTTAGAACTCCAGAGCTGGTCAGAAATACCAAGTCATTTCTACTGATTTCATCGTGCACTGAGAGCTCTTTTGCACAAAACAGACATTAAAAAGAAAAACAAAACCAAAAAAACAAAAAAACAAATAAAAACCATAGAGATATTTTATGCTTGCTACTTGGAGAAAATTCCCACAGAAAGATCTAACCAATACGCAAAAGCCAATACCAAACAAATTTGGAAACTTTCAACGTTTATGCCGGTCCATTAAGTTTACTGTCATAAAATCACAACCCTCAGCACCAATGCTAAAAAAAACAAACAAACAAATCCTAAACACACACCCAACCCCTCGCAAATAACAAAAGTGCTATGTTCAGCAATCACTGTGCCATCTTTTGTTTCTAGCTTGTGCCTTTTTCCTTATGGAGGAGAGGAGGGTACTATGGTTAGGTTGCAGTTGGACTCGATGATCTTTAAGGTCTTTTCTAACCTGAGCAATGGGAGGAGGGGGAGTACAGATAGACAATTTTAAATGTCTGATGGCTTGTTATTTATATTGGTCCCACCTGATTAGCTCTTTGTCCACAATCTTGCTGCTAGTTGGGAGACCAAGTGTGTATTCTGGATTTGCCCCCGAAACCAGATTTCAATGAACGTACTGCTACTCAACCACCACCACAGACATCTCTGCCTTTCAGTACAAAGTCCTTATACAATCACTGCAGTTCTCAGGTAAAACAGCTCACTGGCATCCCATTTCTCTCTCCCTTCCCCCTCTCCCCCCAAACCCCTTGAGCTACGCAGCTTTCCTTACCGCTACCCGAAGGGATCCCCTGCCCTTACCTTACAGATCTGGAAATAATCCGAAGTTAGCGTTTCCTGGATCTCCTCCCGAGGAGTTCCCGCGGCGCCCGCAGTCCCACCGGGATGCGCGGAGCCTCCGCCAGCCCCACCACCGCCAGCGCTGCCACCGGGCGAGGAGGCGGTCAGACCATCCAGAACTTTGCGAAAATTGAATTTCTTCATTTTGGAAAAAGCTCGAGGAGGAAGGCGTGGGGAAGGCGATAGGATGTGCCGCCACACATCCAGCTACATGTAGCGAGAGTCCCTGACGGTCCTCCGAGCGAGGCAGCGCTTCAGCCCCTTGTACCAAACCGACTAATCGGTATTAGGTATAATTGACTGAAAAATACAAAGGCTTCATTTTGTCACGCTAGCGGGATGGGTCCTTTCGGGCAATAACAATAAAAGATCCACAAGCAGCAGAACTAAGCTTTACGCTCAGACACGGAGCGACAGAACGAGGTCCACCCAGACACCCACATCTGGCAGCGGGCTATCAGCGACAAGTCAATGAAGAATTCAAGCCAGCATCTGACGGAGCGGAGTCCATCCCTCTCTTCCTCTCGCCCTTGGTGCTCGGCTGTTTCGACAGCGCTACAAAAAAAGCGACTGCACCCAACCCCGCTTCCCCTCGACACCCCTTCTGTGAGAACTGTCTCCTCCGGGAGCTGGGCGGAGCGCTTCTCCCTGCTGCTCCCGCCCTCCTCCCGCTGCTGGAGCCGCCCCGGTCCCTCCTCTCCCCGCGGAGGATGCGCAGCCGCTGGGAGCCTATCGCCTTCCTCGCCAGCGAGCGACGGGCGGCGGCCGTCCTGAGACGACGGGACAGCCTCGTTCGCTGCCCTCTCACCGAGCCTGTGCCGGACGGAACGGAGGCCACGCGCCCGACCGCAGCCCCCACCCCGACCTCTCCTCCCTCACACCCCGCCCCGCCCTACCCTACCCCGCCTGAAGAGTGACGGGGCGGGGCAAAAGGATCGTGATTGACAGCGGCTCGTGATTGACAGCTGCTCTAATTGGCTCGGCAGTCGGTCGGCTGGACGAACGGACCAATAAGCGGATCGCCAAACCGAGCGGGCGGGAACAGCAGCTGAGGGAGAGGGATGGCGAGGCAGAGCTCCGCCGCACCTGATTGGGTGCACTGTCAAGATGAGCAGGCGCTCTCACCAATTGGAAAGGCTTCTAACCTCCGCGACGCCCCGCCCCAATGCGGCGTTTGGCGCTGTCCCGAGCGCGCTGGGCTCAGGCGGCGATGAGGGGTCGGAGGCCGTACGGCACTGGGCTGAGGGCCGGGGCAGCGGGGCACTCTCGGGAGGGCGTCGTCTGCCGCTGGGGGTGCTTTGAGAGCGGGGCGGTGAGGGGTGGGCCTGTGGGTGCAGTGAGTGTTGCTGTTGGCTCCCAGATGTGATGTGGGGGAAATGTTACCCTGCACGTTGTATGAAAGGGTATTGGGGTCGGGAACAAACGAGTCGGCGATTACCGGTGACTCATGACATGGCACTGGCAATGTAGTTGGAAACCCAGAGCTGACTGTAAAAAACTTATTATGTGCGGTACTAAATATATAGCATCCCTTGTATAATAAAACCGTAGAAGTGATTCATCTTGGTCACATTGCAGTTTCTTCAGGGGTGCTTTATAATTTCAGTGCTCATTACCATGCCTAATATATTTTTTTGGCTGGTAAGTCCTACAGCTCCGTGTAGCAAGGCAAGAAGTTTTTACGTCAGCTTCATAACACTGAGCTCCACGCTTTTGTTTTTCAACTCATCTGTGTTCCAAAAGGTTTTATGATTATTTGATGATTTATGGTTTCATACGATTCTGTGATTTTAGTACTCCTCATCCGAATGGTAAAAAGTGAAGTTCAAAGAATAAAGCTTGACTTATGGCCAGATGAAAAATAAATGATGTGTTGCTAATGAAACTGGAAAGGTTTCAGTAGCCAGAAAAAGGAACAGGACTTGGTATGGGAAACAAGATATGTAATGGCTATGACCAGGAGACAGAATGAAAAAGAGGATGGCACTAAGTTAGCAAATCTGTAAGGACATAAATGCAGGGTTTTGGAGAATAAGGAGAAGTCAAAACAGTTTAAGCTGTTTGAAGAATGCCATGTCCTACTTCTTTGTGTTCACTGTAGGCAGTACATCTGAGGAGGAAAAAAAACCTAACAGAAGACAAAAGAAAGGTACCAACATGAATTGTAAATATGAAAGGGAAAGAAAAGGTTTAAATTGAAGTATCTAGGATGAAGAAAAACAATGTCATGGACAGACTTTGAGAAAGGACAATAGCCTGGAAGTCAGTGAGTGCTAGAGCAAGAAAACCAGATAAGATTAATAGCTTTAAGTGAGAAAAAGTGAGAAACAAGATTAGAAGAATGATAGAATGTCTTTGGAAATGGAAGAGGATACATACATTCTTGGAATATCAACATCTGCCTTTCGAGGAACAGTTATTAAGATCTGGGTATTGGTGATTAGATACTATCGAAAAAGGTTAGGAACCTCCCACTGCCAATGCACAGTTAAAAAAACAAACTTGTAGGCAAAAAAATGGTTTTGCTATAGCAAAACATCAAGGCGTCCTGTTTAAAAACACAGTGAAAAGTTCTTCAGTTCACTGGTGCAGATAAAGCATGGAATTCCTTTTTGAATATTTTGCTGTAAGCTGGACACAAATGCAGAGGCAGAGACGGGCTTCTTGGAAAGGCTGTTCGGGGAGTGGTGCAAAGGGAGACAGGATGGAGCTGAACATAGGGAAACTTAGCTACTCTGACAGTGTTCGTAGAAAGGAGTCCCACTGAATGGCCTACGTGGAGCTCTGGAGCTCTGGTGTTAAAAAAAAAAAAAAAAACAACAACAATTTTGGTTTGGCAGAGGAGAAAACATTTGCTTTTTCTCTAGCTGAGAACAAAAAAGCTGTAGTCTGGTAGGGCATGCAGTTGCTGGTTTGCACTGTGTTGAGATGATGATTAGTAGGGTGCTTCTGAGGGTGGACAGCTCTGACACCAAGAGTATTAACAGTAGGTTTATATAATGGTGAAAATGTGGAAAGATTTTAGATGTTTATTTAACAAATAACAAATGAAATAAGACATCCCAGTGCAATCTGTGTTTCAGATAGTACAAGAAGAGAGTGTATCCTGCAGTGTTTTCTTCACAGTATTTCTTTCATCAGTCATAATGTGCGGGTCAAAGTTCTCTTTGGTGTATTTTTGCTTTCCCTTCCTGGCTTTTTTGTTTTATGTTTTGATAGCATATTTAACCAACAGGCTAGAATTTGTGACTTTATTAAGCTGCAAACAAATTTTAATCTCTGGTTTATACTGTTGGTGGTTTAAATAAAGACATGGTGCAGAGGTGTGCAGTTTGACTCCTTGCCTTTTAAAAATCATTCACAGGTAGCTTCTGGTTTCACTGTTTGCACCTTGTTTGTTGTTGTTGGGTTTGATTCCTACTACTCTTTGAATGTGAATTAGTAGTTAAAATCTGTGCCCTTTCAGTGGTACTGTTTTCTCACCAGCAGTTGACTAGATCACAGCCTTTCAACTACAGCTGTAAGAGAACCTCCAAGCTTTTGCATAACTGAAGAGAAAGGACATTGTGAAATATGGAAACCCATTTATGACCATGCAGTCAAAACTGTGACTTTCAATAACTGGCCATTTCTCTTTAAACTTAGGGACGTTTGCCAGTATCTTACGTGTTTCTGTGTAATTCCAGGCACTAGAGGAGAGCAACGAATGGCAGCAAGCGTGGTGTTCCTGTCTGCAGAACCCCACTAAAAATATCCCCAGTCAGCTTTGAGTATCTGGTTAGAACAGCTTGCTGAACTCTATCAATTAGCCAGATCCTAATCTATTTAATGTGTTTTATTAAGGCTATATAATGCTAATGTTTTAATCAAAATGTCAAGCAGTACTAAATTGAATTTATTAGGAAAGTCCAAGTATATCACATCTATGTGGTTACCTTGATCAAACAAACTTGTAATCTCATCAGAAAGTGAAGTCAGGCCTGCTTGTCAAGACTTGTTTCCATAAAGCTGTGTGGACTTGCTTTCGTAATATTCCTCTTCCTTAACTCCTTCTTGATTGAATCACACATCGCACCACTGTTTTGTCTGTGTTTACTAAAGATGCCGTACTCAGATCTGTTGTCATCTGGCTCATTTGGTGTTTTTTGATTCTCAAGATAACTGGAGGTTTCCTTTAGCCCTTTAAATTTTGGACTGTGTGGAAAGCTATTCCAAATTAGCGCTTAAAGGCCGAATGTCTCCTACTCTTTTAGGACCTTTGGATGCCTAAATGCTATGGCGATTGTTGAAAAAACAGCAGTGCCATTGTCATTCTCAATAGGCGTCAATGGGTAGGAAAATAATTAATCATCCTCATGTGATGTTAATACATTATCCTTTTTTTTTTTCCCCCCCCTTTCGTACAGGATAGAAATATTTACCATAAAAATTCACACCAAGAGACAAGCTTTCGTAATGAAGAAGCTGCGACAAGGTGGGATGTGTCTATAAAGAAATGAGGATATCATTTAGTATTAGCAACATTTGGCAGAGTGGGTCATGTGCAGGTATGGATTAGCCTGTGGAGAGAGTTGTGTGTTCCATATTGAGCAAATCTATTCTATTTGCTGTTGAAAGGGAAGATTCTCCATCCACTTGAACTCTTAGGGCTTTTTATCTCTCCAGTAATATATTTATTTGTTAGAAAAGTCGATAATTTTCTTTTGGATTAATGAGCTAGATTAGCACTGTACTAGGTTGAATGAACATTAGGGCTGGTGCAAAGAGAAACAGAGCTATAGGCCTGGGCAAAAAGGTGGACATGGTCTCTCTTTGGTTAAACTTAGTTCAGCTCAGGCAAAGAATGTAACTTCATGGTATGGTAACCCATTGAATTGTATTCCACATACATGCCCTACCCTGGAAGAGCAGCAAATCTCAATGAAGAAATATCACAGACATCCAAACAGCAGGCATACAATTTTAAGTAGTTATTACTTACTGGCTCATTGCAGTAGGGCAATGTGTTTCTTGCAGAAGGTTCTCCAAAGAAGAGGAAGTGATATAGATTGTGTTGCTCTGGAAGGAAGGGTTGTTTCCTAACAGACTGTGGAATACAGGCTGTAACAGAAGCCATAGGAAGTATAAACGTCTCAGTAATTATT